TAAGTCTGCAGATTATAGTAGGAGCCCTAGTAATTAGTCTCCTAAGTGATTTTAGGAGTGAAAAAGCATTTATTATGATGATTTCAGCCCACTGTGTCATCTGATGCTTCCCATATAATAATTAGAGGCATCTTCTGGTCGAAATTTAAGGAACCTTCTGTTACATTTTTTTCTAAGCTTCATCCTTTAATGAGGACAGAAAGTTCATGCTTTGGTTACTCAAGTGGATAAAGACTGGACTTCCCTTCTCTCTTTTTTCATATTTCATAGCTGTGGTGCACAATGTAGAGCTTCAGCCTTCTCTGACAGATTTTCAGTTAATTGTTTTCATTTTCTTTTTCCCATGTCTTGTCACTTATCAGCTCTACTAGTTAGGTAGTAATATACTTGCCTGCAGCAAGAATCTTTTATTTGGTGTGAGCAATTTAACAGTGAGAGCATATTAGAAAATGTCATTTAAGTGTAAATGAAAGCATTCTCATATGAAGGATTAAGGAAATACTCCATAGCTGTATTTTTTTTTGCTAGGAAAGTTGTGCTTTGTTTTCAAATTTCTTTAATATCTGGCTATTAAAATAATTGCATAACAAATACTGGTTATGTATTTTAGAGATTTTTGTACTTGACTAATACTTAATGCATTGCTTCTGACTATGCCTTTTCATAAGAACTTACTCTCCTGTGTTCTAGTGTGTCTTAAATGGAAATCAGAGGAGGAAAGTCTGGAGAACACAGATGCATTCTAAGGCAATTAAAAGCAAATGAGTAATATAAACAACACTTGAGAATCTAAAACATTATTTCTTTAAAGTAATATGATTTTTTTCTCTTATTTTGATCGGTTTCAGAATAGCCATTTTTTCACTCCTGATGTTTATTTCCAAGAAGAACTTTGCTTTTGTGTATGAATTCTTGCTTCATGGCAGTCAGATAAACTGGGAAGGCTTTCCTCATTGCCTCCTCTTGTTCCCTGAAACTTCCTGCTATACTCTTTCAGACGCAGAGTCACAAAGCATATGTTTTGATGTTGAAATGATAATTCAAATTATGTAACAAATGTGTCTTCTGAATTGAGATTTTTTGATTGAATGCTTTGAACCTGTAGGTTTTGGGACTCACAGTAGAGGAAGTAAGGTCTGAATAGAAACCCAGAAAGGCTGTTTTAGACAGCAGCATTTTGAACACATTTCTCAGGGCAAGAAAGCTGGCATGGAAGTTGCAGAATTACAGAGTCATTTTGATTGGAGATCCACATGTTGAGATGGTCAAGGCCTAACTGAGCATGGTTCTGGACAGTCTACTCAAGCTGCCCCTGCTTGAACAGTGATTAGACCAGATGATCTTCAAATGTTTCTGGAAATCTAAGCAATTCTGTGTTATTTTGAACTAATACACTAAGTCCTCTGGTTTCTCTGATAAATCATACTCTGTATTGCAAGTTTGATAATAAATAATTTCAACTATTGTATTAATGCCAGCTGAATAGCTGGTATCACTGGCTAGCTTGTGACAGGACTGTTGCAAGCTTCCTTTTCTCTTCCTTTATTCCTGTCGTCATCAACTTGTGAAAAGAATGTAGCAAAAGCAATAAATCTGTTGTCATGACAGCTCTTGTTCAAGACAAGAGCTAACTTTCATACTACCCCTATGTTTTGCAACAGGTTTTAGTTTACTTTAGTTTAGTAAGAGGCAAGTGCCATAGCTGCAGCTACAGTGGATCTAGCAGTGTCTCAGGGCTGATGGTGTGCTCTGAACATCAGTGAGAGCTGCTGGCTTGGACAATGGTGTGGCCCTGCTTTTTGGATGCCTGAGAAGCATTTTTGGCTGGCATGCTTTGAGCAAGATTGCTCTGCAGGTTCTGTGTAGAATCAGTCTTTATTAAAAGTTGAGAAGGGGTAGGTAAAAGGTAGCTTTTTTACAAAGCATGTATTGGTTTTGGTTGTGTACATCTTTCTAACTGCTTTCTAGTAAAAACCACATACAGATGTTGCCATCTTCTCAAATTAGCTTCACTACATGATTAGGTATGTCAGAGATACATCTTAACATGCAGTCCCAAGGAGCCTATGGGAAGATGGTCACACAGCAGTGGGGGAATAAGCATGGACATTAGAGGTGACATGCCCAAGGCAGAGGGGTGGCTGGGGGAGCAGAAAGGCCCAGCCTTACTAGGCCAAGGCTGCCATAGCTGTAGTGCCCTGGCCCTTTGCCCTAGTGTCAGCCACTGCCTCGTGTGGGTCCTTGGTGGATTTTGTTTGCAGCAAGTGGGCACACTCCTGTGCTTTCCCAAAAGGGGTTTTCTGTTATATGTGTGCAGTCTCCAGCACTTTAATCATCATTATTTCAAATACTGTTGTGAAATATAGGAGGGGAACACTACTAATGGTGGGCTGGGTTTGAAAATTCACTTCTCTGTCAAATACACAAAGGACTATTTGAATGCTTATTTCCATGGTGCATTCTGGTTGGCTTTGAAAAATGGTTGAATAAATTTTTAATGCTCTTTTTTTTATTCCCCTGACATTTTTATTTGGGTTTTTATTCTGTGCTGGTTGCTCAGTTGATAAGCAGAGGAGGCAGTGGCATGTGCTGGGAGGCTCTGCTGAGAACTAGGTTATCATGCTGAGAGCTGCTGTGAGTGTTTACCTATCACAGCAAAGGATCTTCTCATGCCATTTTATTATTAAACAGTCTGTATTCCTGGCTAAACTTTTGGAGGTTCCCAGCAGTCCTGTCAGGCTAACCTTGTTGCTAAAAATGATTTTTTGCTCTTAGTTTGGGGAGTCAGCAGGCCACAGGGCGCTAGCCAAAGCCTCTGCATCCCATGATGAACCTCTTCTACTGTGACACAAGCCAGGAATCACAGCTGTGCTTCAGGAGCCATGTGCATGCTTTTAGGTGACCCCATTTCTTGCTGGGGCTGTGGCACTGGCCTGTGCTGGTGTAGCAAAAGCCATGCACATAAGCATGTCTGTTTGAGCTGGTGGAGCTGCCCCAGGTTGGAAGATGTGTTGTGTCTGATGGTGCTTGGCTGTGCTCATTGTGCTCAAGTTGTATCTCAGCTGACTTCAGTTTTTGGGTGGCTGTTGCCAATGTACTTCCAGTTTTAACTACAAAAGAAATCACTGTTGCTTGTCAGTGTTGGTTCTTGTAAGAAAATAGGGATTTGGACCCCCAAAGCATGTGCTGCACCCAGGTGTGCTCTTCATACACTGTTGAACTCTGTTTTTTGCAGTTTGTGTGTGTTCCTTATGGACATTTCTGTCTTTTGCATAAATGACTCATTGCACAGTTAGTAGGAAATATTACCAGTGTTAAGACAGAATAAAAAGAAGCTGTCGTTTAGTGTTAGTCCTTGTTTCCTTGTGGTGATAGAGTTTTATGCATTGAATCATAAAATGGCTTGGATTGGAAGGAGCCTTAAAGATCATCTATTTCCAATCCCTCTGCATGGGCAGGGAGGCCTCTTTCTAGATCAGGTTGCTCAGGGCCCAGCCAACTTCTACTTGAAATAGCACATGTAATATTTTTAAATCAAGTCAAGAAACAATTGTTCTATAACAGTAATGAAATTACACAATAATGATAATGATAATAATAATAATGCTTGGCCTTGGTTTTGTTTTTGGCTGTGGCAACCGTGATAAAGTTATTTTTAAATAGAATTTTGTGAACACCTGATGTCTTTGGTTAGTCACTTTGACTTATGTGTGCTTACTTGGATCATAGCATCTCTTTCTTTCAAAACAAAGCTATAGTTATATCTATCTATTTAATTTCAGTGTACATGCAATGTGAATTGAAGAAAGTTATTCTTTGTTTCATTATATCAAACCTTGAAATTCCAATACAGCTGCTAGCAACCATTTGCTTTGGGTATGCTTCTAGAATTCATTAGTTGCATTTTCGTTGTTTTCATTCTTTGAAAGTCAGAAACCAAATTTATCCAGCTTACTCCATTTAAGTGTGTGCAGATTTTGCCTTGAATAGGGTTAATTTTGTAAACATGAAGTCCTAAGTTTAAATCCAAAATACAGCCTGTACTGGCTTCTGTGAAGAATAGTAGCTCTATCCCAGCTGAAATCAGCACATTCTTCACCCTTATTCTATCCATATGCAATGCATTCTTATTACCCATGAACCCCCTTCCCATTCTTTAATATAGTACACAGATATCATTCCCACAGTCTATGGACCACCCTATAAAATGTCCATAAGTGTCCACTGAGTTCCTTTAGTCCATGACTTCGGGCTGTGTCTCTTAGGGTGGTTACTCGGGGCAGGAGAGGTGATGTTTTCTGTGGAGTTACTGGGCACCAAAGCCAGCTCAGTTCAGGTCACCTGTTGTTGTTGTCCGCCCTGCCTTGGTCAGCAACTCAGCCCTGTGTAGCTGCTCACTCCCTGCTGGTAGGGTGAGGGAGAGAACTGGAAGAGTAAAAGTGACAAAACTCATGGCTTAGAATAAAGACAATTTAGTAGGTATAGCAAAAGCCATGCACATAAGCAAAGCAAAACAAGGAATTAATTCTCCACTTCTCGCAGGTATTTGAGCTGGTGTTGAGCCATTTGCTGGAGAGCAGGGCTCCATCGTGTGTTACAGCTGTTGGGGAAGACAGACTCCACAACTCTGAATGTCCCCCCTTTCCTTCTTTTCCCCTAGCTCTATATGTTGAGCATGATGCCATGTAGTCTGGAATATCCCTTGGATTGGTTGTGGCCAGCTGTCCTGGCTGTGTCCCCTCACAAGTATTTGTGTGTCCCCAGCCTCAGTGGTGGGATGGGGTGAGAGGCAGAACAGGCCTTGAGTCTGTGTAAGGAAGAAAGAAAACATCCCTGAATAGTTAACACCGTTTCCAGTACAAATATAAAACATAGCCCTGTACTAGCTACTATGAAGAAAATAACTCTGTCTCAGCCAAACTCAAAGTAGTATTTTATGATGAAAAAGCAATGTAGTATCTCTTTTGATTTTAAAACTGCAACTGAATTTATCCTTGTAGGTGTAGCGTCTATGACTGTGCCCGTGTACATCGCAGAAGTGGCTCCACCGCACTTACGAGGCAGATTAGTCACCATTAACACTCTCTTCATCACTGGAGGGCAGTTTTTCGCAAGTGTTGTCGATGGAATCTTCAGCTACCTCGCGAAGGATGGGTGGAGGTTTGTGAGCCTTCCTTGCTAAAAAAAGCTGCTGTAGTAGTGATTTGGTTGACAGCTATTATAATTCTTGTTGGTAAAAAAGAATTTACATAGAAAGTGGTAAAACTGTATGCTAAAATGGAACTTCAATAATTAAATCTTGCCAAAATGGTCCATACTGCTTTTGTTTAAGCTTAATTTTCACAGTATGTGCAGGTTTTTTTACTTTACTAAACTTTAAAGTGGGAGAGTAATAAATATGCATCACAAAGGTGAATGAAATGTGAATGATTGTCATGATGTTTATGAAGGTAGGTTGCCTTCTGGAATAATTATATGCTGATTTTTCAAAAGGCAAATTTCCAGTAAGTGATACTCTGTATGTGCAAGATAGAGGTGAAGTTTGACTATTCTTAATCCGAGCAGTGGTAATCTATCAGAATTGAAGGATATTGTAGCATAAATTTATAGTAAAAGCTTATGTTATAAAATAACAAAAATCAATTTTCTGGGCAGCACAAACTCAGTTTTCTCAGCCTCTTCTGTGTCACATGCTCCACTTGTGCAACTCATCTTAGTGGCCCATTATTATTCCTGGTTTGTGGCTTTCTCTTATATTTGTAGTCTTAGTCTTCCAAGTGCTGCACAATGTGATGAGTAGTGAAGAGCAATTGTTTCTGCAGCCTACTGGCACATGCTGGGTGACTTTTGCAGTAATGCTAGTAATGTGTTTTATGTACATGCCAAGTACTGCTCTGCTGGTTTGAGTGGAGTAAAGTCAAACTTTCTGTGAAGAAACAGGCTACCACCTCAGTGATGAGGTATCCAAGTATTTCAGCTGCAATGCTGGAGCTGTTAATTGAGGATGGTGTACTGCCCTCAGCTAGTTTATTGCAACCTAAGGCTGAGCAGGGGAAAGTACAGATGGTCTTTTACCTGAAAGGAGTGGCCAGCAAACGTGTGGAGAGAAATCATAAATATTTACTCCTGTGTTATTACATATAACAAGGAACATTGCAGCAATCATTTTATCTCTTGCTGACTAAATGGCTAAGCACTGGAGTGCTACAACAAACAATAAGGAACTTCAATTTTTCTTGGCTCTGCATCTTCATGGAAATGCTGGATATTAAATTAAAATAAACCAAAGAAAACAGATATTTAACATGACCCTTATGTCAGGTTAGCTTTATAAACTCTGCTAATGCCATCTTAATAGTATTGCAGCAGTATGTCAGAGAAGGAGAAATGTTATAGCAGACTTATTAAATTTCATGCTGGATTTCTTCAGGTCTGCTAGACATCTGGCTTCAAACACAAAGTCTCGTAATCTGTATAGGAAAGAACTATATTAGGTTTCTGAAAGCTGGCTCACTGCATGAAATGTCTAAAATGGCCTGCTTTTACTCTAAATTGATTATATCAAAATGGCTTGCTCTGAAAATTATACCAAGTCTAGAACTTGGAATGGATGTTCTCTCTCAATTAAATATTTTCTTTCTGGCCTGCTCCTTTTACTCAACTTTGACCAGAATTTTGCAGAGTGAAAAGTAACTTTAGTGAGGGAACACTGTCTGTACATTCCTTTCTTGTCTTGCCTGTGATAAACAATCCAATGGAGTCCAGCTGGTATGAATCAAGCTTTCAGGAGCCTTGATTGATTTTGCCTCCTAAGATGATTGCAGGCACCCAACTGCTTAGTTCTGGAGGCCCTCCTGCATTTAAGTGTCAAAAGGGCTTTGGAGGAGCAGGTATTTAAGTAATAGGAGTCTGAAGGACTAAATCTGTGTACTTAGATGCATTAAAACATACTTCTGCATGCACTTTGACAGGATACAGCAGTTGTTTTTAATCTCTATGAGTTTGTTTTACTTTTCATTTGAAATAGAAAAGGCTTTCTAAATAACCCTCTAATACAGATACTGAAACTACAATTTGGTGAGCTTCAGTGGTCCATGTATTTTGTATACAGCTACCAAAATGTTTGTGGAGAAGGAAAAGAATAGGAATAAATGAGGCCATTAATGAATGAGAGCATTAGTGAATGAGGAATGAGAACATTAGTGAGTTAGTGAGACTGTTAGATGCGTTGACTGAAGACTGATAAACCTCTCACAGACTTTGTAGTTTGAATTTGTTTTCTTTTTTAACTAATTGTGAGCCATATAATTTTTAAGCGTTACCAAAAAAAGGAGAGCTGCTCACTGAGCTCTTTCAAGTTTTGCTTGTATGATCTTTGGAAATTTTGGCTGGTTTTAAGAAGAAACTTGAGGGCTCAGCTGGGGATGGGAAAACTGGGATGTTTTTGCATTGCCTTTTGGGTATTCTGTTTTTACCGTTCTCCAGTTATTCTGCCTGTTGTACTGCCCATGTTTTTCTTTGTTAAATCTGCAAATGTCTCTAAGAAAGTATTTTTCCATTTTTACTCAAAATGCATTTGGACTCGACAAATACATTTGGTTCATTGCCCTAACATAAGGTTTTCAGTAATGGATATTCTCTCCTTTCTACTCAATTAGCAATCTCATGCATGCTTTATAAAATGATCCAGGTGAGAGGCTGCAGAATCACCTGTAAAAGCAGACATCCTGGGGTATAGGCAGAGGACAGATTAGCAAATCTCCTTAATCTCCTGACTGATGTCAAGGTGTGAATTTGTTTATGAGTACAAGCTACCTCAATATTCAGAGGGACTGATTTCTGGAGGTATTTTAATGATTATATCCACTGATGTGAAACCTGTGATAACTGCAGTAATGTACAGGTGACATCGGCACTGTTTAAAGTCTTTAATGAAAGTGAAAAGAATCTGGGTGAAATGTAAATGGGAAAAGGTCAGATTTAAAAAGCAGAAGAAAATTATTCACTGTTCTGCAATTCTTTTTATCCTTTTATTGAAGAAATATAAAATGTGATGTTTACCAGAGCCACCCATGAAGATTGGTGGTTGATTGCCTTCCACAGCCTTTTCCTCCACTTTGGATGGAGCAAATAACCCTGCCTGAGTGTTGTCACAGGTGTTGATCCTTGGAAGCATAACTGTGCTTTTACCAGTGGTAATTCTCTGTTCAGTAGAGAACTAGCCTTAATGCTGTAAGTAGTAACCCTTGGGCATCTAAAATGCAGTTTTGATTGAAAACCTAAAATTGCATCCAACTGAAGATTTAAAAACAAACTCTGAAAGATCTGGTGTAAATTGCTGTGCTGGTGAAATGAACATTTTTTCAGTGTTTCTTCTTATAGTCAGAAATTTTTAAACTTAAAACTGGCAAATGTGTCTGTGTGTGTGTAGTACTGACCTATTTATGCATTTTTCTCCAGCTTTTTTTGGTTGTTGTTTGTTTGTTTCTTTGTTTGTTCGTTTTCAATATGTTGGCGAAACAATTAGCAGGATTTCAATCTCATTTTTATCATCAACAGTACCTGGTTTTCTCCATGCATTTGCTTTCTCTTTCTGTTGATAATTGTCACTGAAGGGTTTATCAGTTTCCAAACCAGTGGAATATTTCAGTTTTTTTATTTAGTCTAGCTTAGTATCTTAGTATCCTCAGGACCAATGGCAGTCAGTGGTGGCACAATAGTCAACATGTCCCTGAGATTTCCTGGAAATGAAGGAAAGATCATGCTTTCTAAAATACCTGCAGAATATGATTCTTGCCCCCTTAACTTACAGTGAGAAAGAATATGAGGAGTGGGAGATTTCATTTGTAAATACAGTTTGAGTAGCTGCAACTGAATCTTCTCATAGTGTGTTTTTGTAGGCTGATAGTAGACATTTATCTATTTTCATATTTGTTTCTAGGTACATGCTGGGCCTGTCAGCTGTACCAGCAGTTATACAGTTTCTTGGATTCCTGTTTCTTCCTGAAAGTCCCCGCTGGCTCATTCAGAAAGGCCAGACTCAGAGAGCACGGAGAATTCTGTCTCAAATGCGTGGCAATCAGGCAATTGATGAGGAGTACGACAGTATCAAAAACAACATTGAAGAAGAAGAAAAAGAAGTTGGAGCAGGTATGCTGAATACTTGTTGGCCACTCTGTCTATCAATAAGGAGATAAGAATCAGAAGAAATGTTGACATTGTAGCCTGTGGGAACTTGATGCTTTGCTTTATGTTTTCTGTTTTGCTCTTTGAAGTTTTAATGTACTGGTAGCTTCAAAAATGAAGATATTTCCGTGATCCTGTACTTTCAGATTAGGTTCTGATTTCTTAAGTGAAGGAAGAGTAAAGTTGTGTGGGATTCTAAATTTATAACACCTACGCTTGTGTGAGAATTGGTTTCAGAAAATTGATCAATTTAAGAATGCACATCTCCAAGAGTAGAAATAAATAAAATAAAGTTTGGTTTCTTTCATCAGTGGAAAAGGCCAAACAGACACAAGAGAGGTCAGAAGGCATTGTACATGCCTCAATTATCCAGAGGCCTCTTCCCAGCAAACTGCATTCTAGACAAGAAGCCTTTGGAAAAATGTACAAAATAAGGCCGGTAATACAGATTCTTTTTCTGTAAAAGCAACTTCTGAAAGTCCTTTTGATCTGTCCTCAAGAGAATAAGACACCTAAATCAAATCCTTTTTTCAGTCTTTTCAATCTTTGTCATATTTGCTCAAAACTTTGTGTTCATGTGTGTACTTATAAAACAAGATTGCTGTTGGATTGAATAGGAAAACAGTAACTTCTCAGAACTGGTGTAAAGAAAAATGGATGTTACTTTACATCTGTGTAAATTGAGATTCAGCATCTGATAATGCCTATTCTCACTGCCTTATTGAGTTTGTCTTTGAACCTTACAGTAAATAATTATGTGTCTGCAAAAAGTTATTTGACATATAATTGAAGGATTTTCAAAATATTCATCACTAGTGTGAAGCAGGACTGGGTGGTTTTTTTCTTCGCATTATGTTTTTGAGGCTTTGGATACCTTTTTTTTCCTAGTTCTTTGGGATTGGGAAATGAAGTTCATTAAAGCAAATTTGTAAAATGATGAAGGGTATTCACAGAACAGCTTGGGCTTAAGGGTCCTGTGCTTAGGTGCTTCATTCTAATTAGGCATTGGACTAGTCACTTGTGGAAAATCGCTTAATGTCTAGTACTAAAGTTTAACACTTTGTAGAAATACAAGGAACAGGCATTTGGTCTACTCAGTCCCTTGTTTTCCATCACTGGACTATGGGGTATGACCTTGCCTGTTGCTCTTAAATCTTTTGTCATGATGCTTTTTGAAAATTGTGAATCAAATGTGGTGTTGTGGGTGCAGTAGGACTAACTCCATTGTTCAGTCAGTCTTTTATATATTTGTAATTTGGACTGGGACACTAATTGTGTCAACAGTCAATGAGATTGTTGTCAGGGATATGCAGGTCTCTTGGTTTCCCCCATACATTTCACCAAAAAACTTCGTGTGTTCCTGGAGTTTAGTTAAATCAATCACATTCCTAGGAGAAAGCTTGGTTACAGACAATCAGTGTTTTGCTCTCAGGTGATCTACAGCTTCAGAATTGTTACCCAAGAGCATTATAAAAATGAGGTTAGTTACAAGTATATGCTGTCCCATTTGTTATAAATGCTTAGCAGACAGGCATTGGAGAGCTATGGTCACTTTGGATTTTGATTACAATTGTACTTCATCTCATTTTACTCAAGATCTTCATTGTTATAAAGAGGTGTATTGTATGTCAGCATTAAGACATGCATTGCTTTTGTTATCTTTCTGTGACTTACAGGTGGTATTAAGTTGTAATTGATTTCATTTCTTGAGGAGTTATCTGGATCCCCAGTATTGAATTTTTCTTGTGTAGTGCAAAAGCAACTTTCTGTTCATGGTTTCATTGGCAGGTTTTCAGGTATTGACAACTTAAACATGTGCATTTGCAAAGACTTTACATTTTATTTTGCTGTGGGTATATTAGTAGTGGTTTGGGGTTTTTTTGTTTGGGTTTTTTGTCTATATTAATGTGAAAGGTTTTTTTTTTTTAATTTCTCCTATTTGTGGCAGTGTCTTAAAATGCTAGTTAATAGCAATGACAGATGACTGCAATTCTTATCAGACATTTTGAACCTCATTGCAATTTCACAAAAAGCTTTAATAAACCTGAACTGACAGTGTGTGTACATGACATTTAAGGAAAGATGACTTTGCAGATTGAAAATCATCGGGCTTACTTTTAGGTAAAAGTGCCTTTTCTTTCCTTTTTCTTTCTTGAAAAAGGACAGATGTTCTTTTTCATTGACTGATACACAAGCATCTTTGCCAGTTCCTTAGGGCATCACTTTCTAAGTGAAACTAACACTGTTTTACTCCTCCTCTTCAAGGGAGTAATGCAATAGCCATAACACATTCTCCACACTTAAGAACTGGAATGTCTTTTGTAACTGTTTCGTCACCTGTTCTCATCACCTGTTCTCATCACCTAGGAGTGAATCATAAGGAAACTTCATCTGTATTGTTTAAGCTGTTTTATTGTTTAGATTAAATATGTGCCATATAACTAGGGAACTTAATTGCATTTTTCACATGGTCATCAAACAGCTTCTGTCTTCCAAATGACAAAAATGCCTTCAGCAACAAACTTCTGCTTCAGAAATCTTCTGTACAGTAATGAGATACCTGTTCAGTGAATGATTCACACTTCTGTATCCTTTCGAATACATTCAATTGAATTAAGGCTGCTGGTACTGCTAAGCAGCTTATATTCTAGCATTTTGAGATTGGCATCAGGAAAATAATGCATCTTTTTGACTGGTTATGCAAATGACATTTTTTCTGACGGTCATGGATACTGCTTTTGCATGCTCTGTTATGTACTTGCAGTGTGACTTCTGGTACTGTAGCCTTGCATTTTGAGAAGTGGAGGGGAGGGCATTGCATTCTGCAGTAACATTGCAAGACAAGTCAAATTTTGGTCATAATTTAATCATCATCTGTTAACATCAGCTCTCAGATACTGAAGTGCAAAACCAGGCTGTTGATAGGAAAATTGGAAAGAGGAAAATTTTAGAAAAAGAGTGTTCCCCAAGAGTTGTGTAAAGAGTAGTTTATAGCTGCAGAGTGGCCTTCCCCCTCAAATATGCTGTGGATCTCACAGATTCCCCAGTGCTTGGCTTAGATTCTGAAGCCTCATGGAGAGAAAAGGGAGAGAATGGTCAGAAGGGGTTTGCAGTTGAGAGAAAGATCAAAGACATTGCTGGGAGAGCATTCTGGCACAGCTCTTCCTAGCAAAACAAATCTGACTCACACTGCTGCTGAATTGTAGTTTTTAGTACAGTTAAGGTAGAGGCTCTGTAGTGCACCTTAGTTAAAAATAGGCAATCATATCACAGCAATGTAGGTAAGCACTGATACAGGGACTTAATTGCAGCATCAAAAAATCATGGAATGGTGAGAGCTGGAAATGACCTTAAAGATCATCTAATTCCAATCCCCCTGCTGAGGGCAGGAAGCTTCCTACTCGGAGCCTCATCCAGCCTGGTCTTTGGACACCTTCAGGGATGGGAAATCCAAAACCTCTCTGGGCAGCCTGATCCAGTGCCCAAATACCCCCATAGTAAACAATTTCCTCTTAATATCTAATCTCAGTGTACACTCCTTCATCCTAAGGCCATTCCCCCCATCCTGTCCCTACATGCCCTTTTTTAAAAAAGTCCCTCTCCAGCCTTCTGGTAAGCACCCCCTACATGCTGGAGGGCTGCTCTAAGAGCTCTCCAGAGCCTTCTCTTCTCCAAGCTGAGCAGCCTCAGTTCTTTCAGTCTGTGTTTGTAGGAGAGGTGCACCAGGTGTGTGATCAACTTCTGTGGATTCATTCCAGATCCACATCTGTCTTGTACTGGGAGCCCCAGAGCTGACAGCAGTACTCCAGGTGGGGTCATGAGAGCAGAGTAAAGGGGAAGAATCACCTCCCTTGACCTGCTGGTCACATCTCTTTGAGGCAGCCCAAGATGGGGTTGGCTTTCTGGGCTGCTGGCACACACTATTGGTTCATGTCCAGCTTTTTGTCCACCAGCACCCTCAAGTCCTTTTCCCCAGAGCTGCTTTCAATCCATTCTCCACCCTGTCTTTGTGCTTGAGAGTGCTGTGATCCTGCTACAGCACCTTGCACTTGGCCTTGTTAAACTTCCCAAGGTTCTCACACACCCACCTGTCAAGCCTGTTGGGATCCCTCTGGATTATATCCCTTTCCTCCAGCATGTCAACTGCACCACACAGCTTGATGTGGCCACAAACTTGCTGAGGATGCACTTGATCCCACTGTCCATGTTGTCAAAGCTGTCACCATATTGACCCCTGAGGATTGTCTCTCATCACTTCTCTCCACTTGTACATTGAGCTGTTGTCTGCAAGTCTTTGAGTGTGGCCATCCAGTCTAGTTTTTATCCACTGAGTGGTCCATGTCTCTCCAGGTTTCAACAAGGGTGTCATGCAGGACAATGTCAAATGCTTTACACAAGTCCAGGTGGATGATACTTGTTGCCCTTCCCTTATCCTCCACTGCTATAACCCCATTGTAGAAGGCCATTAAATTTGACAGGCCATGGGTATAGATGAAGTAGGTTGTGCTCCTAAGAAAATTAAAGTGTGAGATTTGTAATGTTAGTTCTAGAGCAAACACTTGGGAGTGAACTTAAGGTGGTGGTTTGTGCATAAAAATAAAGCTGTCTAGCGGATCTTTTGTAAAAGTTTTACTGCTTGCCAGTATAGTAGTCACTTCTGACTGGAAAGAAATCATTATAGCATCCAATTGAGACATTTTAAATAGATTGTTAATTTTCCATATGCTGGACAGTACTACAACATTCAATGCAAATTGGAGAAAAGTGTCATTTTGTACTGTATTTCTGGGTGAAAAGTGTATGCAAACTGCATGGCTTTTCCTCACACTCTTGCATATAGCTGTACTCAGCTGTGATGTGCCAGGATGCATGGATGGTACTTCTCACAAAATCAGAAGTGATGTGTTTGCTACTAATTTAGCATCTTGATGAAATGAATGTCATTTGCATTAAGACTAGACATT